GTATAGGGAGTCCTCTGCACCCTGCGCTCTCTTGGCTGCTTGAACGGGAGTTATCTTTTTCCACCCTTTCCAGTCCTTACTGGTTTGTTGTCCCTCTGGGCGCCTTTCCTCACGCGGGTCTATTCTTCTTCTCTTCCTTTTTTTTTCCTCTTTCCCTGATCACAAAAAAAACTATAATGTTTGGGGGTTATAAGAAAATTTCTAGTAAAAAATACTGATTGTTTCATGTAAACAAAAAGTGCCAGAAAGGGCTTGGTCTTCAAAATCAAGTGAACAATAGTATACTCTTTACTAGATTAGTTGAGGAATCCTGTTTGCAGGGTCATGAATATTTGTGCAATAATAATTTTAACTTCAAGCTTTTCCAGTTGTCTCCAGTGTAATTTATCCTTGCCCTTATGCATCTACTTTTTAGTACATTGGGCCCAGAAATATTTCACAACTTTGCTAGAAACAAGTGATATAAGAAAAACTGTTCAGAATATTTCAAAGATGCAAGGTAAACTTAGTGATACAAATGGATGAGATATTGAGAGAACAGTTATCACCAGCATTAACATTTGACCCAGTTTTTTGCTCTAGAGAGAATATAATGGACATTAGATCACATAGATTTTCTGACTCATTGGAAATGCCTGTGTGTAACAAGAAGCCAGTTTTTGTTCTCATTGTCTAGTTAACCTTGTAGATGACCTGATGGTCTCTTAGTCATAAAAAGCAATGGCCAAATAATGTTGCATCTTTTGCAACCATTAGGCAATATATGATCACATTCACACCAAGCCTTTCTGTTTATGTATTTATTTATGCATACATTTCCTTTTCCTATATTTGTATCTGCTGTCAATGGATTATCAGCATTCAGAATTGCACATTTCTGCATCTGCAAGCTGTGACTGCAGTAGTCTACTTTAACTGTGAACTTTTGGCAAATATATATTTGGCATGTAATTATGTGGCCAGTCCATACAATAGATAGCCACTACTGAAACACAATATTATATAGGCTATTTTTTAAGTGTAACTCTAACCAAATTTAAAAAATGCATAGAGCTGGAAAAAGTAATATTTTCTTTTGGGTATTATTTGTGTCCTTTGTATTTGTGACCCTATAGTAAATACATTGTGCAATAACAGCATTGTTCAGGTGTGGAATATTTATACTTGGTGGGATTTTTCTCATGTAAAGTGATTGGTGTAATGAGGGAAATTTTCAAGAACAAGCTAGTAGCTTTCAGTGGTTGAGATGGTTTAATCAAACGGAGGAATGGGAACAGAAAGGTGGAGATCAGTCATTTGTTTGCTAAACAGAAGCAGTGAAATATTAGTCAATTTACTATAAAAAAAGCAGCTTGGTTTTTGAGTACTGTCCATTTTCCTTTTTTTTTACTTGCATTTTTAGGACAAGTTGTGGGGTCTACCCAAGCAGAAAATGCTAATAAATACAAGAGACTTGTTTAGATAAAATAAATATGTTAAATTCTTGAGATGGAATAGAATCTATTTAAAAAGGATGAGTCTTCATGGACACACAATAAAAGAACATAAGGAAAATAATCACTGCACTGAGTTGTGGCCTTAGGTGGGAAGTGTGCAGTTTGTGTTGTATACCGTTTTGTGGGCTCATTAAGGCCTGGTTCACACCTATGCCTTTTTTTAGTGCAATTTGGGTTTTGCAGAAACACACTACAGTCTATTGAACATAGTTTCTTATTGGACACATTCACATCTATGCGTTTTCAGCTGCTGCATTTTTGGAAAGGGTCAGAGACTTTTTTCCTGCAGCAGATTGCTTTTTTGGTACGTTTCAATGGAACTGCACCAGAAACATAAGCATTGTGTTTTTGGTGAATTTTTATGCATTTTTGATTCATTTTGCATTTTTTTGGGTCAATAATAAAGTATTGAGTGAGACTTTGATGCGACTTTAGAGAGTGGCACTCAAGTTGCATCAAAGTCGCATCGAAGTAGTGCAGGAACCTTTTCAAATTTGCTGCTACTTTAACCACTTGCCCTCCTGAGGATTTACCCCCCTTAATGACCAGGCCTCTTTTTGCTACTCGGCGCTGCACTAATTCAACTGATAATTGCACGGTCATGCAATGCTGCACCCAAACAAAATTTACGTCCTTTTTTCACACAAATAGAGCTTTCTTTCGGTGGTATTTGATAACCTGTGCACTTTTTATTTTTCACGCTATAAACAAAAAAAGACCAAAAATTTTGAAAGAAAAACTTTCAGCTATAAAAAATATATAGTAAACTCAAAGTTAGTTATAAATTTAGGCCAAAATGTATTCTGCTCCATGTTTTTGGTAAAAAAAAATCCCAATAAGTGTATATTGATTGCTTTGTGTGAACGTTATAGCATCTACAAACTATGGTGTAGATACTGCAATTTACGCCATTTTTTGCTATACAGCGCTGCGCTAGTTTAACGGACAATTGCGCGGTCATGCAATACGGTACATAAATGAAATTTACATCATTTTTTTCCCCACAAATTGAGCTTTCTTTCGGTGGTATTTGATCACCTGTGCGTTTTTTATTTTTTGTGCTATAAAAAAAAAGGCTAACAATTTTGAGGAAAAAAAACAATATTTTGGACTTTTTGCTATAAAACATGTCCAGGAAAAAAAAAATTTAAAAATCAAATTTAGTCATAAATTTCTGCCAAAATGCATTCTGCGACATGTCTTTGCTAAAAAAAAACCAATACATGTAAATGAATTGGTTTATGTGAAAGTTATAGCGTTTACAAATGGCGGGAAAGATACTGGGATTTTTAGTTTTTTTTTATACTAATAATGGCGGCGATCAGCGACTTATGGCGACGATCAGCAACTTATGGCGGGACTGCGGCGGACATTCTGACACTGGGGGGAACTGACTTGGGGTCACTGACATCCCCAGTGACACCAATACAGTGATCAGTGCAAAAAAAAAACCACTGACACTGTACTAATGGCACTGGGGAGGAAGGGTTAACTTTATTATTCAGTGAAAGGGTTATATGTGTGAGGGGGGGTGTTTTCCTAGGGGGCGGGGGTGTGTACTGCAGGGAACACCGTGGATCGGGAGAGAGAAACTCTTCTCTCCCGATCAGCCTGTCTGGAGTTGTCAGGGAACTGACAGAGAGCAGAGCTACTGCAGCTGTGCTCTCTGTCACTGATTGCCGCTAATCGCCGGGACAAGCCGGTAACGACCGGCTGTGACCCGGAGACTGACATCCGCGGTCATGATCGGCGGGACAGGTAGGGCGGCGACGCGCCTCGCGCGCGCCCCCTACCTGTTTTGAAAACACACGTTTTAAAACCTGGTTTTGCCCAGCCGTGCCGCCCTGCCACCGTATTTCTACAGTGGCGGCATGTGGTTAAGTAGCATAGATTTGAAGGGGTTCCTTTGCCATCAATGGGCTGCGACTTGTCATGCAACTTTGGACACAAAGAGTTAGGATTAGAGTTAATGGCTAGGGTTAGGGTTAAATGTTAACATTAGAGTTAAGGGCTGGATTAGAGTTAAATGGTAGGGTTAAGGAGTAGGTTTAGGGTTAAGGCTTAGGGTTAGCCTTCTAACCTTAACATGAAACACTATCCATAACCCTTAATCTTAACATTTAACACTAACCCTTATCATAACCCTGACCTAGCCTTTAACCCTAACCCTTAACCCTAAAATTTAATACAAAACCCAACCTTTAACCCTAATATTTAAAGGTAACCCAAACCCTTAAAGAGTTACTAAACCCAGCATCCTGCATTCAGTATATCTGGTCTCCCACAGTACACAGAACATGGAAGAGCAATTATTTTAGTAAATATAAACTGCTAAATACCTTTTTTATCAGCAGTTAGTGCGGCCTTGTGACTTCAGCAGAGCACTGGTAAAAACATGTAGGAGGAGTTTTATGTTTGCTCTAGGAGGATGCAAAACCCCTGACCTCTGTCTGGTCAGTGCTTATACTACTGTCCAAGGTATAGAGATTTCCCCTCACTTCCTGTCCTGGTTAAAATATTTTGTAAAATAGAAAGTACACATCAGATTGTATTTCTGTCTGTGTCACTGTTTTTCCCCCGCTTGATGTCAAAATAAATCATTTTCACTGAGACAAAAAGGAAAACCTTTTTTTTTTATTGGAGCCCTGGATACCAGTGAAAACCTGAAAAGGGTTTTATTTCTTCCTCACCATATGCCCCCCCCCCCTTTTTGTTGTTGTTTACTTGCCGTACACTTTCATTGGTGACTGTAAGCAATAAAAATATGGTTGTGTTAAAAAAAAGTGTTCAGCTTCTGAAACAGGAGGTGTCACTGCTTGATGCTACAAATATACATTATGAATATAACATTACCCTGACCAACTTCAAGATTAGTTGTGGATTTAATTTCTATGTATGGTTAATTGTTTACAACAATTGTTTACAACCAAGCACAAATTTGTAACAAGGTAACACGGACCATTACCTGGAGCAGAAACATTTTATGCAGCAGGGGTGTTTCCTTGTTGTTTAACCCCTTGCCTACTGGGTACTTCTCCCCCCCTTCCTGCCCAGGCCAATGTTCAACTTTCAGTGCTGTTGCACTTTGAATGGCTATTGTGCAGTCATGCAACACTGTACCCATACGGAATTTTTATCATTTTTTTAAATATATAGTTTATTTTGGTGATATTTAATCACCACTTTATTTTTTGCTAAACAAACGAAAAAAGACCAAAAATTTAGAAAATGTTTCTTTTTTCCCTTAGTTTCTGTTATAACATTTTGCAAACAGCTAATTTTTCTCCTTCACTGATGTGCGCTGATGAGGCTGCACTGATGGGCACTGATAGCATGCACTGATGAAGCTGCACTGATAGGCACTGACGAGGAGGCACTGATGAGGCTGCACTAATATATAGCACGGATGGGCACCTATATGCAGCACTTATAGGCACAACCAGTGCCAGTCAGTGCCGCCTATCAGTGACCTTCAGTGCCACCTATTAAGGTGGCACTAAAGGTCACTGATAGGCGGCACTGGCTGGCAGCACTGATGGGAACTGACTGGCGGCACTGATGGGAACTGACTGGCGGCACTGAAGGACACTGACAGGTGGCATTGATGGACACTGACTGGCAGCACTGATGGACACTGTTGGGGCTGGGGGCTGAACTGGACTGCCTCTGATTTTTAAATACATTTGCCGATTACCGGCTCTTCTCCTTTCTCATGCTGTGACAGCATAAGGAAAGTGCAGCAGATAACAGGCAAATGTATTTACATTGTGATCAGCTGTGTCATTGGGCACAGCTGATCACGTGGTAAAAGGCCACATTGAAACTCCTGCTGAAGAGCAGACACCACAAAATGTCCACTATTACCTCCATTATCCAGAATACCTGCACCTGTATGCCTCTTCAATACTTGTTACATTTTATGAATAAGAAGCAGATTTCAGAACTATGCTTCACTATCTAGCATTCCCCTTTGCCAATACCATCGTCTTACTGGTCACTCTCATTGGATAGGGACTGACAGTTTGCAGTTCTTGGCTTTGTAGTTGGGGATGTTAGGCCAAAATAGGCAACTTGTTGTTAATGATTAAAAATGATGATAGGTTCTCTTTAATTAAATTGTCAGAAAAAAAATCCAGTGTATCAGCACATGCAGAATATCTGTAATGAAATATACATCCCCAGATTTGTGGCCTTGAAGGCAGAGGCCTAGAATGTAAATAATTTTTGCACATAATATTTAATAATAAAACAAATACTATGTGATTTTGTACTTTGTTTTGATGGAAACGCGATCATATTTTGTTTTTCTGAGTCTGTTTGCCCTTGATCTGTATTATATGTAAAGGTGTCAGCGTGGTGTCAAAAGAAGGTGCAACATTTACCACATTATATGACATGAACCATTATGCACTGTCTAATTAACTGCTTTCTGCAGAACACCTCACAGTCACAGATTTCAACTAGTGTAAAAGATGAAGATGGAATAATACATTGTCAAAGTTCATTTTTATGTGTTTGTTCACAAATGGCTATCAGTATGTTGATTATCATATAAACATAGGCTTGTTTAACCACTTGCCGACCGCGCATAGCCGAATGACGGCTTCACCGCGGCCGGCCAGTTCTGAGTGGACGTCATATGATGTCCTCCCAGAACGCGCTCTCCTGCGCGCCCCAGGGGGCGCGCACCCGGCGATCTCCGTGATCGCTGTGTCCTACGGACACAGCTGATCACGAGATGTGGTGAAAGGCCGATCCCACCGGCCTTTTACCACGTGATCAGCGGTGTCCAATGACACGCTGATCACAGGAAAATGCAAGTGCCGGTTCTCGGCTGCACTTTCCTCACGCTGTCAGATCGTGAGGAAAGTACTGCCGAGAACCGGCAGTTGTCAGAGCGGGGATCGGCACCGATCATCAGGGCACTGATGATCAGTGCCCTGATGATCGGTGCCCAGCAGTGACCCCCGCAAGTTCCGATCAGCTGTGCGCCCACTAGCCCCGCCCACCCATTCCCAGCAGTGCCCCCACCTGTGCCCAGCAGTGCCCCCACCTGTGCCCAGCAGTGCCCCCACCTGTGCCACTCTGCAGTGCCACCTACCTGTGCCCAGCAGTGCCACATACATGTGCCCAGCAGTGCCACCCACCTGTGCCCACCCACCTGTGCCCACCAGTGCCACCCACCTGTGCCCACCAGTGCCACCCACCTGTGCCCACCCACCAGTGCCGCCCACCAGTGCCACCCACCAGTGCCACCCACCAGTGCTGCCAGTCAGTGCCACCAGTCAGTGCCCAGGGGTTGTGCCAGTCAGTGCCGCCAGTCAGTGCCCAGAAGTGATGCCAGTCAGTGCCGTCTATCAGTACCCATCATCAGTGTCACCTATCAGTGCCGCCTATCAGTGCTGCATATCAGTGCCGCCTATCCGTGACCCCTAATTAGTGCTGTCTATCAGTGCCGCCTATCCGTGCCACCTCATTAGTACTGCCTATCAGTGCCCTTTAGTGCTGCCTATCAGTGCCCATCAGTGCCGCCTATCAGTGCCCATCAGTGCCGCCTATCAGTGCCCATCAGTGCCGCCTCATCAACGCAAATCAGTGAAGGAGAAAAAATACCTGTTTGAAAAATTTTATAAAAGAAACAAATAAACTTTTTTTTTTTTTTTTAATTTTTTGCACTTTTTTTAATTTATAGCGCAAAAAGTAAAGTGCCCAGTGGCGATTAAATACCACCAAAAGAAAGCTCTATTTGTGAGAAAAAAATGATCAAAATTTCATATGGGTACAATGTTGCATGACCGCGCAATTGTCAATCAAAGTGCGGCAGCGCTGAAAGCTGAAAATTGGCCTGGTAAGGAAGGGGGTATAAGTGCCTGGTAGGCAAGTGGTTAATGACAGTGATGATTTGCACAGTGCAGTAACCCATGGCAACCAATTTAAACGGTAACTCCACTTTCATGGGGAAAAAATATTATAGCATATACAATTGTGACTCAAGTCATATTGTAATTGATTTTGAAAAAAACTTCCTTTCCTTTTCAACCTGCAGCCACTGTCATTTTCTGTAAAATTAAATGCAATATGGCTACCTGAGGCATTATGTACACAGATGGTGTACAGAACACCCCTGAAAATGTCATTTCATGTGATTGGCTTACTGATTTTCCCAGAAGTCTGCAGTAAGATACACATTGGAGTTTTGGCATCCCCTACAATGTCATTTTTGGTGAGATTATCCCAAAGGGAAATCACGTCTAAAAGGATGCAGACCCTGCCACTTTCCTCATTAGTGCCCTGCAGGTGCAGCAGCTGATTGATAATTATGAAATCCCTCCCATACAGATTCACTCTGCACATGGACACAGACAAACAGCTACTTCTTCAGAATAACAAATGGTAGGGCTCTATAACAAAGGTTTGTTAAAATCACTGCAATTGTGTAAACTTCAAAACCAAATCAAACCCCAAATGATATTATAACATAAATTCAATGTGTGTATATTATAAATACATCCACATGGTGCACAACCCCTGGTCGCCAAGATATCACTTCCTCCCCAGGAAGTCCAAAATTAAACTGTTGCTCAGAATCCAAACTTAGTCAACGTCCTCAAATTATAACAGCAGGTAATATCCCATTTTATGGGTTTCCACCATGGCTCAATAGGTGCTCAATTTCTAGATCTTCAAAGTGATGTCATCCTCTTTATCCCTCAAAATATATATATACTGTATATAAACCGCAAACAGTGCATTACCTCTATCACATGAATATTAACTTTACTAAATTACACTCACATGAAAGTGCTCAAAAAGTGCCAAACATTTCACCAAATGTGAACATGTGATATCCGTAATTCCTACTCTTACCCTCTGAACAGAAGTTGCATGCTTTGTAAAGGGATTTTCAACACGTGAATTCTTCCTCCAGTAATCTTCCTTGTGAATGATAATAATACTCCAAGAAATGTTAACTTCATATAGTGTAGTATTATTAATAAATGAATTTCTTATAGTGCCACTCAGTGCACCCTTTATCCCAAACTAGTGACCACTGATTTATGTGAAACAATAAGGTGATCCACCACCTCACAGCTCATGCACCTTACTGGACTGCATAAGAATAAAGCCTTGAGTAAATAGACTCCTCTTGGCAATTCAAACCAACATCGCTCTTGCCACCTCCATCACAATGCCAATTTATATATATTTTTTTGAGGGATAAAGAAGAAGAGGATGACATCACTTTGAAGATCTTGAAATTGAGCACCTAGTGAGCCATGGTGGAAACCCATGAAATGGGATGTTACCTGCTGTTATAAATTGAGGACGTTGACTGCAGTGGTTTAAAACCACTGCAATGTACATAGATCACTCAGAGAGGAAGGATTTTTTTCCTCAACAAAAGTGGAGCAACTCTTTAAACTGAAGCTTACACTAACTACACTAAACCTAAATGTATTTTTTATTTATGATCCATTCTATTACTTGGAATGTTCTTCTTGGTCACCCACTCCAGTATTCTTTTGGCAGAGAAGGGTAACTTTCACAACACTCATCAAGGACATTGAAAGAAATGTGTGTGTCTAACCAGGTCAATTAAGCACTGTACAGTAGGTCAAGCTCTGTTGTCTATTAGACTGCACAGTCATATCTAGAAAGAGCTTCAACACAAGGGTAGGTATCATAAAGTGTTACTAAACCCACAACAGTAAAATCAGTCTGTATATGCAGTAAAGCATACTTGTTATACTCACTGTGGAACCTAAGGGGTTTATCCTCCTCTTTGTGTAAAAACATTGTTTGATCCTAACTTCTCTGATCCTGCCCTTCTTCCAGTGCCCACCTTTTAGCTCCTGATAAGACATATGATGTGGAGTCACTCTGCACATGCTCAGTTTAGTGCTAGAGAGGTTTTTTTTCTTGGGAGAGTGCACGTGATCAGCACAGGGCCAATCAGCACTGTCGAGACAGAGGTAAGGGGTTCTACATCCTCCTAGAGAAAAATGAAAACTCCTCCTTCAAGCTTTAACCAGTCGATTACTGTAGTTGGGTGTTAATATATAACATTGACATTAAAAAGAGGATTCCATGTGCTCTCACTCATTGACACTCCAACAGAGGGCAGTAAGCCATGACCACAATAGATGCACTCCTGTGAGGAACAGATGGCTTTTAAAGAAATGTTACAAAAGAAAACTGATACTGGTAAAATATTTACTGTTAGCCAGGCACTAAAGAGTTTACAGTTTACCAGGATCCTAATGAAATATACTCTTTTATGTGGTGATCACAACACATCCAGTGTCGTGAGCACAAACCACTACCCTAAGATCGAGAACTCGTGAATGTATAAGTGTGGGATGACTGAATGGTTATACTAACAATCTAAGCCTCATTATCAATCACTGAGCACCACCAACCATAAGATTTTTTTCAGATTTGCTCAGCAAGCTCCTGGCTTTACTGTAAAAGGGAACTGGGTAGCTGTGGAGTCACCCAATTATTTTTACATGAATTACAAGGTGGTACCCCCTTTCCTCAATGGTTGCCAGGTTCTCCCAAAGACTCTAAGGGTGGTGATTGGTAGGAGTTCATCTGTTGCCTTCTCTCCTCTGCTATGAACCCAGAAATGCTTAGCTCTGAGCATTTCTTGGTTCAGAGCTGTCAAAATTCCAGCTAAAAAAACAGATAAACAGCTGGAGTGTCAGGACCGGAGCTGTGGAACGGACAGGCAGGCCTAATGGCAGGGTCACGCACCAACTGACGAAAACCACCACCCACAGACCGGAGTCCCTCAGGGCGCGGAGTCTAAGTCCCAGGCTGCCCTTCACCAAAGCACCTGATGGTGGGGATGGACTTGACGCAGCCAGGGACCAGGTCACGGCCCCCGAGACACCCCAGCTGCGGTAATGGCCGCCGCCAATGGTGTATAGCTGGTAAGAACCAGAAGACAATAGCGTAGTCGGGCAGGCCGGTCGATAACAACGGGACAGACAGTACAGAACGGTAGACAAGAACAACAGGTCACAAGCCGGGTTCAGCAACGGGAGGTCAGATAAAGGGATAACGCAGAGAATAGTCTAGTCAAAAGCCGAGTCAGTTTCCAGGAGAGCCACGAGAGTATAAACTTGTTGCAACACGAACATACAAGACACAAATGCAAAGAGCATGTGCGGACAACAGGCTTATATGTGATTAACCACAGCCCTCTGGGGGATGGACTGCAGAGGCCTGAAGTCATAAAAGACTCCCACCATGCTCTGCAGAAATCCAAGATGGATGCCAGCACATGAAGCAGCATAACCTCTGGGAAAAGGTAGGACCTTGACATGGAGTAATAATTCTAGGTATGTGCTTTATGGCTAACCCTAAACTGATATGCTGTAAAGACAATTCAAGTGTTGCCTATTAATAACTTTGGGAACCATAGGTTTTCGTTGTTTAGTGAGGACAAGCAGTTTTAAGGAATTACACATTTGGTTTCTATTTACTCGACATAACATCATCTTTTTTTTTGTATATTTGGGAATTAAATTGCGTTTGCCTTCTCTAAAATTCTTATTGTATTTTTTTCTTGAAAATATAGATTTGATAAACATCTGCACAAATATTGTGCAACTTAAAACATTTAAATGAATGTGTTTTTTTCTACAGGGTTGTCCTTTCATAAAATACTGTATATGATGTGGTGGGGGATTTAAGCAATTTTCTAGCTAAAAATGCAGATTTTGACATGTATGCAAAAAATGAAAAGGGAAGTGGATAGAAACATCTGCTAGTGTGGGTCAGCAGTCTGTAGTGCAGTGGAGATGGAGATTATTACTTGCTGCTGCATGAGATGAGATGCTAGACAGTTCTCTGCCTGATCCCTTGGACATCCTTGCCTTGTATTTTGTTTTTTCAAATTTAACGTTTTGTTCCTCCCATGAACTTCCTGATTAAGTCTCTGCACTTCCTTTTTGCCAGAATATTGTGTTTTCTCAAGCTGATATCTTGC